GCCCCAGAATGTACTCAAGTTTATGGGAGCATACATATTAAATTACATCCATTAGAAGTTCTTCATGTAGATTCAAGTTGTCTATTTTGTTTTATCGCTCTCAGCTTCAGGGAATACCAGGGAACTGTAAGAGCACAATTGTGGAGAGGGCACCCAGGAGCAGTTGTGTTAACTGCTTGGGTCATATCTGCATCCTTCTGATTGACCAAAGTTTCAACAAGAAACCGTATCATCTGAACATCCTCCCTCCCCACAGCTATCTGGAAGCCATCTAGGTGTGTCATAATAGGTCTTCCATGCTTGCAGAGAAGAAAAGCTGCTATAAGTCTAACTTCAACAGAAGGCAGTGTGACATTAGAAATGATTTGATGTCCCTCACCTTCAGATCATGACTTCCATGGCTTGCTGAAAATACAAGTCTAGAGTCTGCCCTGCTTCAAATGTTGGCCAATGTTGGGAGAAGCATCTAAATTATTATGGAACCCCAAACAAGACACCTTTGGCATATATGTTGATTTTCCCCAAAACCAACTGTCTGTGGGGAATGACTCTCAACAGCACACATAAGACTAACTCTTTCAGCTCAGGTAAAGACACTTTTGAGTGGATTGTACTATGCATAATCTGTTCTACTGTACAACAGAAGTTGCAGACACCCCAGACTAGTGCTCAGATGGAGAGGGAGCATTGAGAAAGAAAGACAGAAATCCTACAGTCCACAGCAACCCCCCTTCCCAACCTTCAAGACTATCCTGATCCTGAACCAAAGGCATTGGTGGGTACAACTTCGAGAGACTAATTTCACCCTTCTCATGAATTCATTACTGCCAGATTGGCTGCCTCATCCACTATTAAATCATGAATGTGTGATACCCTTTTTGAACTGATTTGTCATGTAAAAGCAGCACAAAGAGACCCAAGGGCAGGCTAATAGGGCAACCACCAAACATGAGAGCCTGAACATGATGCAGCTGTTAACTACTAACAGCAGTTGACTGTTCCTCTTACCTGGCTAGCCCTTCTCCTAGTGCTGTATCGTTCTCTACCTATAACTATACTAACTGAGGTCTTAAGTCCCCCACTTGACCCATGTCTTCTCTCCCAAGCACATGATGAGATCGTACAGGATAAACCACCGCAGACACATTCTTCTCCACAGATACCACAAGAGCAGACAATAGCACTTCCATTCCTCTCAAAGAGACTCCCCACCGCTAGGTTAACCCTTCTGTGCTGCCCCTTAGGTGGTGGGCCTGCTGATGCAAAATCTTGACAAGCGGCAGCAAGTCTCCTAGAGAAAGTGCTGAATCAGGGGCCTGATCCTGTGAAGAGAATATATTTTCTTGCTACAGAAGCCCTTCTTGAGGATCCACCTGTGACAGACAGACAGCAGGATGGTAAAACTCTCAGTCACAGGCTACCTGGGCAGATGGTCTCTTCTTTGCAGGTATTACTACTGTCATTCCCCAAAATAAATCCACATGCTTTCACAAGGGGCTTCTTCCATGAGACATTTGACTTGCCACATTTTTGTGGGGTTTTTGAATCTCTTTATATATGCTGTGTCCTTTTAGCTGTTGTCAGTGTTGCATTTTATTGCATTTTTATCATGTTTTAATAGTTTTAAAAGAAAACGTGTGGGGTATAAATGTTTATAATGTGTGAGTAAAATGTTGCAGAAAAACTATGAAACTTTATTGGCCACAATGAAGAAATTGAAATTGTGAATTATTTCGTATACCTTGTCTTAGTCATCAGTTCAAAGAGAGACTGCAGCCAAAAAAATTGAAGAAGACCAAGACTTAAAAGGGCAGCAGTGAAGAAACTGTAAAATACCATCAAATGTAAGGATGTTTCACTGGAAACCAAGGTCAAGTTCATTAACACCATTGTATTTCCGATCACCATGTATGAATGTGAAAACTGGACAGTGAAGAATGCTGACAGGAAGAAAATTGATGCATTCAAACCATGGTACTGGAGGAGAACTTTGCAAATACCCTAGAATGATAGAAAGATGAACGAGTGGATCCTAGATCAAATCAATCCAGAACATTCCTTGAAAGCAAAAATTTCAAAACTGAAGCTGTCCTAGTTTGGACACATCATGAGAAGCAAGTCTCACTGGAGAAGACAGTCATGCTAGGGAAAGTCAATTGCAGAAGAAGAAGAGGAAAACCACATATGAGATGGATTGACTCCATAAAGGAAGCCACAGCCTGGAATTTACAAGAGCTGAGCAGAGCTGTCCAAACATTTTGGATGGCTTTCATTCATAGGGCCGCCATAAGTCAGAGATAATTTGACAGCACACAACAACATGTCGCACCATGTTTTCAGGGTGAAATACTTCTGTCCCCTCCAACCTGCAGCTATGAATCTTACAGTCATTTTTGAACTTATGAATATATTTCATAAGATTGTACTTGTATAATTCAATCTTTTTGCAAACTTAATTCCACTGAAAAAAGCCAATGAGTCCATTTTGTATTTAAATACCTCATGGACCTGTTCAGAATGTGTTCGCTAATTTTTTAGTTCATACCAAGGTGAGGGAGTTGCCCAGGCAAGTTGTCACAGCTGAATGGGAGGTGTCATAGCGCAACGGCGCAGCGCATGACTAGCATACAGCAGGACCAGGTTCAGTCCTTAGTATCACCAGACAGGGCTGGGAAAGTTTGTATTTAAAACTCTGGAGAGTTGTTGCAGGCCAGTGCAGATTGGGCTAGATGGACTAATGGCCTGGTTCAATACAAGGCGGCTTCCTACGTTCCTTTCTAAGTTTACTTTAATATAACCAAAGATACCATCGATATCGGATTGTTTGTTTTTAATTGGAAAAAATACCTAGGTACTCTAAATTAAGTGGAATCAAATTTAACGTGTTTTACTTGCAAATTTAATATGTTTACTTATTTAAATAATTAAATAAGTAACTTAACCAATATATTCTCTATTAGGCATGACTGATATGTATCCTGAATTTTTATATATTTTTGTTGCAACATTAACAAGATGAGTTCAAAAAAGAGCAGAATATCCTGGTCATTGTGTTGTATCTCTAACACATAATTACTGTAGTATTGTCTAGAGCTTTTTTCCCCAGTAGCAGCAACCTACGAATATCTCTTATTAATTTCATTTTCCTATGGAACAAGATTAGAAGGGGAAAAATAGTAACATGGGTTCTTCTTAGGTTTTGAACTTTTTCTTTAGATAATGACCATTAAAAAAATCATCTCCTACCCAGACATTTGGTAAAGATATTCAAGTTGTTTTCAACAATTAAATTCCCAATCTGATTTTTCAGATACACTGAGCTCATTAGTATTTTTGAAAGTGTAGTTCACTTATTGAGTGATGCAAAAAATTTAGTTACTCTGGTGCTCACATGTACTCTTGACCATTAGCCATCTTGGTTAATTACTGTGAAATCATTTGAACTGATGGGCTCAAAAAAAAAAAAAAAAACTTGTGAACAGGAGTGGTCCTGATACCTCTCTGGACCAAGAAAGATACAGCAATAATTGTCAAATCACAAATACCTCCTTTTGGGAAAAAAATGCACAAGTGGGAGTTGGTTCTCGGTTTTTTCTCAGTTGAATGTTACAAATTTGTTAGAACCATAGCAGTGCAGCTTCAGGCCTGGTTTTGTACTGAAACAGCATTGGCCTCCTTTCATCAGGAGAGAAACAAGGGAAGAGTGACCCTATTCATTCGTCTTGATTTCTCAGTGGCTTTATTTTGTTTTAATCCCTGCAGTCCTTCTGGACTGCTAGATATAATAAAATCCCTAAGCAAATCATAAATAAATATTAAAAGCACATTTAAAATATGTTATTAAAACAAATTACAATAATATTAGAGAGTGATACAGGGAGCATTAAGATGAAATAACATGATTACTTGCATTTCTATCAACCATCTCTCATGGTTGATACCATCCATGGCCTGCTTTGTGAGTTGAGGGTCCTATGCACAATATGTAGATTGCTTTCCTATATGTGTGGCTGGTTCTCAAAAGCAGTATTAAACCCTAGCTCCTTTTCAGTCCTGTGGCACATGCTTATTGGAGTTCTGCAAGAGTTCATCTTAGATAAAGCTATTAGTTATGATGTGAAGCTTTGAATAAAGTCATCCAGGGACTGGGGATGTGGTATTATCTGTAGACTGATGGCACCCAGTGTCCTTGCTCCTTTTGTGGATCAGTTGTGCCTGAGGAAGTATTAAACCTGGAAGAGTTAATGGGCTGGATGGAGGGCAATAAAGTGGAATTGTGATAAGACACATGGTAATTGAATGGGTCTTTGAGCCAAAAACAGGTGTTCTGTTTTGTAGGGGATTGTACTATACCCAGACAAGGTAGTACCTGTTTGGAATAATCCTGCTTTGTCACTAGAAGCCCAAGTGAGCTCAGTGATAGAGTGCCTTTTGCTAGATTCAGCTAGTTCCCCAGGTTCAACAATGGACTAGTATAGTCTAGCAATAAGAATACTGCACTGGACTCTTGGCGTGACTCTTGCTATAACTACATTTTACAAAGGTAGCCTCAACTGATGCAAAATATGGCTGCCAGGTTTTTGGCTACTGCAGCCAGGATTCTGCATATTACATCAGTTTTAAAAGAACTGTGGCTTTGTGCTTCTGAGCACAGTCCAAGGACATTTCTTAAAAAAAATGAAATTGCCCAAACACCTGAAAGAGTTCCTCTTTTGATACTGTCCTTTCCATAAGTTAAGCTCTTTTCTTCAACTTTCATGAGATATGGTACATGACAACAAAGGAAATGGCTTTTTCGGTAAGGTTTTATTTTTAAACTAAACTATGCCTCCAGTCATGTGTGTCTAAATGGTGAGCTATTGCAGTTTCTAAAGTTAACAATAGTACAAAATCTGGTTTGTGTGTATTACAGAACATGCTAAAATGTGCTTGCGGCATAATCTTGAGATCTCATTAAGAAGGCAAAACTTCATTAGAATGTATGTTTTCTGTTTGAACAGATGATACTGTACATGAATCAGCTGAGCCATCCCGTGGTGAGAATGCAGCGCAGACACCAAGGATATCCAGTCGGTTTTTGGCAACCCTACTGTTTCTCCTGGCAATGCTTTTGACGTTATAGCACATATCCTAGCAACCTGTCACAGACAACATCAGGATCTTGGAACATCAAAGATCCCCTTAACTGCTCATCTCAAGAATGGGACTTGTATTGGTTTTGCAGATGATGGTTTGTTTTCCTCCCCTGGTTTCCTCCCTTCTTCCACTGCAACCTGAACTATGAGCAAAAATTGAAGAGGCATAACTAGCACTCTTCCCACTCCCAGTCTTTCCCCGACTTTCCTTGACCCCTTCTAAAATAAAAGGACTCCAAATGAAAATGCCAAATTTCAATATTGACACTAGTGATTCTTACTTTCCTCTGCAGCCTCTCTTAAGATACCACCTCTGTTAGCTTGCTGGGCCATCTGTATGTGGAGAAGAAAGAATAGTAGCAAATGCAGTCAGTTGGAGGATAAGGAAGTTGTTTGGAAAATTCTCTCCAATGCAATATTTATTCCTCCTCATTCTGCACTGTAAGATGATCATGCATTGTGTCACCATGTCAGGACTGGAAGGGAGATATTAAGAATAAATATAGCATAATACCATTTCCTCCAGGAATTTCTCCATGAACAGGCTTCTCAGAGGAAAGAGATGCTCTTTTGTATGCAACTGCCTTGAAAGATCCTTGACAGAACTTGTGCTCCTCATCAGAACCTATGTAATTAAGGGCGAAGACAGTGACTACTGAGGAATGCTAGCACACAAGCAAGGTCAGATTTAGGAAGCTCTGCTGGGGTGTTTATTATCTCTCTAAATGGATAGCGCACACCTGATTATTTTTCTTTTGAAATAGATCACCATGGTGCTACAATCTTTTTTCTTCAGATGCAAAGAGGCATTTTCTATACCTTCCTTTTTTCTTCTTTTTTTGTGTGTGAATAAAGTGACCTTTCCCAAGGCTGACTTACTAGCCGATAGCCTTGGATACCACTCTGGGTGATGATGCATGCTAAGATGATAAAAACACTGGGGGGAATAATCCTGGTGAATGATACAGAATCCCCAGTGTGCTCATGATTTGCCTCCCTTGAAAGTTAGACAACCCTTGGAGTAAAGTGCAGCCAGAAAGGGGCCAGAATAGTTGTCACAGAGAGTGGTTTATAGGAACAAAAAGAACAGAAAGAATATGTTGAACTCTGGAGTGAATTCAGGTATTGGTTTTATACCTCTCTTCTTTCCAACACAGTGGAAATGTTTTTATCAGCAGGAGATAAACTAGGTGGACTCCCAAAGACCTTTAACTTTTTAAAAAAAACCCACTAGAATAGGAAGTACATTATTTAGATATACCTTATGCTGAAAGTAAAAGTATATATGCTTGTCCTATTTAAAGATGACAAGAAGTGGTAAATTTTGACAGTTAAGACTATGGGATGCTTTCTTGCTGGGTTGAAATCAGTGTGGATCCATAGGCATGTGAACATAGCTATGTTAGGGCTTCATAAACCATTTACCAGGAAATGCCTTCCTTGTGGGGTTTCATTGGCTTAAAAAGGTAAAGGTTTCCCCATGACATTAAAGTCCAGTCATGTCTGAGTCTTGGGGGCAGTGCTCATCTTCGTTTCCTAGCCGAGGGAGCTGCGTTTGTCCGCAGACAGTTTTGGTGGTCATGTGGCCAGCATGACTAAACACCGAAGTGCACTGAACGCTGTTTACCTTCCCACTGAAGTGTACCTATTTAGCTACTTGCATTTGTATGCTTTCGAACTGCAAGGTTGGCAGGAGCTGGGACAGAGCAACGCGAGCTCACCCCGTTGTGCAGATTCGAACTGTTGACGTTTCGATCAACCAGCTCAGCAATTTAAACCACAGTCCCTTTCATTGGCTTAGGCAAGCCTGATATTGACTTGTAACAGATTAGGTAAATGAGAGAGACCCTGAGAACAACTAGCTTGGAAAGTTAGCTTTCAAATTATTGAAAATAAAGCCTTATAATATGGGGTTAGATTTCACTGGATTGTTAAAAGATATTCAAAATATAATTTAATATTAAATCATGATGCAAATGGACAGCATTTTGTGAATGTCTTTTTGTTGTATGAAAAGAATTCATTTTTTTTTTTTAAACATGACTTTCAGGATCCGGACTACCAGAAAGAAAAAAGTAAATTTAAGGCACTCTGGGCTTGCCTGATACCATGCAGTGGGGGCTGTATTTGAATGCACAGAGATGTCGGATATTGCACACAAAAGTGTTACAATCTGCATTAAAGGATGATGCTTTCCTCACAGTACAATAAATAAATATTTTTTGTATACTTGGTGCACGTGTAGCTAGATATGGCAGTGAACGTGTAGCTAGTTATGACCTTGAGAATGGCAAACAAAGCAAAGACGATTTTGCACACCTGAGAAGGTTCTACACCTATTGCAAACGTTCGTAGCACTGATTTAATGTCCTAACAAGTGATTTTTCATGGACTCATTTTGGTCTCAAGAGCACGCTTTTTTAAAACACAGATTTTCACTACAGTGAACTCCATTCTTTGCTTTGCCATTGTGTCACTGTTAATATAATGAATAAAAGCAACACTGTATTACGGTCAAGAGGCTAATTGCTACACTGCATCAAATGCAAGCCTTGTGGGCAGTAAGTTTACAGGACCTCCACTTTGCATACTTGATGACATCAGGCAACCTCAGTCATAACAAGCAAGCAATGTCTGAAAGTTTTTGAATCTCTCTGGTGAGAGAAAAGAGGTGTGTGTGTGTGTGTGTGTGTGTGTGTGTGTGTGAGATGTCTTGACATCTTGGAAAAGATGTCAGCGTGAAAGTTTACAGCAGCCCTTGTCCCCTCAGCGTGAAGTCTGAAAAACAAAATGCCACCACAGTGGCCCCTCAGCCCAAGCAATTGTGCCCTGTGTCATCCTTTCCTGGTTTGCTCAGGGCTTTGCAAAGGGTAGCAGGGAAATAAGGATTGATCTGTATGGTGGATACTGTGTATCCTTTAATAACAACAAAGTAACATTTCGTGTTAGTTTAGAAATATTGTTTTGTACTGTACTTTCTTGGATGGCAAAGGAAAGACGAGTTAAAACAAAAGAAAAATGCTATGTTCTTTAAATTCTGTATTATTAGCAGCCTCTGTTGTATATAGTGTTTGATAATAAAGTATTAATTTGATTCTTATGTCTTTTGTAAGTGAGAAAAATAGACTTTCATTGATATTAAAAATTAAATAAAAATGCACCCTCTGATTATATAACAGACACCTCCATCATGGCTACTGAGAACTGAATGACAAGTAGCCACCAACAGGTCACCATACAGGATTCACCCATGAAACCCGTTTACCCAGACTCAAGATTTCACAATGTCAGGACTTGGAGCAGCGTGGCATTTTATGATCAGTGTTTTGTCCTCGGTGTTAATGGTCTGATGTTGGAGCTCTGTGGTATTTAGGGTTAACCTTTCCCCTTGGGGTTGGGTTTTCATTAGCATGTTGATTCTCAATGGCTTTGGGATTTAATTCTCGTTTCTTGTGAGGATGGTTTTCCTTCTAATTTTTTATCTTTTAAAATTTTGTTTCATGGATGGTTTGTTTCAAAAGGGGCCTTGCCAGCATCATATGTGATAGGTACAGTGAATTGATTCCTTACCCTATTAAACAACAAATTTGGGAGGGGGTTATATGTAAATAATTTTCTTTCCTGTGCAGACAGTACTAAGGGAAAGAAATAGTAGCTATTGAGGGAATGTGTTTGTTTTTCTTTTAAACTGATACTCACCAACTGCTTCACGAAAGCAGCAGCCATGTCAGCTTTGGAAATTTGGAAAAATATGGAATTCATTCATACTGCAGTCAGAGTATGTGTTCACCAGTTCTATGTTATAAGTGCCCTGCATCAAAAGTGCACTTTCTCTTCCCCAGTCCCCAACCGCAGCGAGTTCTTTCTTTTTCCCCTCCCCTTTTTAAATTTGGAGCTGTGAATGGGCAGATCTGTTTCTGATTTGGCATTACCAGGTTTTTCCCATGCATTCACCCCCGAGTTTTTCGGATGTGAGACAAATCTCCCTACAATAGGCTTGCTGCCATTGTCTGTACAGTTTAATAGATGCTGGCATATTGGAGGTTACCCATGAGTCTACAAAATCCGCTTTCCATACTTACTCTTGACACCCTATTGAAGCCACTCATTGTGTGTCCTTCTGGGTATGAAAGTCCAGCTCAGTGTGGTCCTGTGCTTGTACTGCCCTGCTTTGCAGTTTCTTTGCACTTATTCATTGAGTGCTGTTTTTTGAAATGCTTACATTATATGAACTTAACAGAAATTGTAAAAATGAAACAAACCCATAAGATCTGTATTTGTATATACACGTGTCCGTACAATTATATCTGAATAAAAATTAAAGATTTTCATCATTTTAATGGATTCTTTCAGGCTATACTTTTATTTGCTGAATGGTTCCTTTGTTTCAGGGGCTATTTATTCTAAATCTTAAATATTTGTGGGGAGTGGAAAGCTGCAAGCAATACAGTACTGAGCTGTTCTGAAATGGCTGGAATGCAGTGTCCTCATGGACTATATACCTGCAGCTACCACCACCAGGACCCAATCGGATCTGTGCCCTGGCTGCTGTACTGTTCTCCACCTGCAATGCCCAGTGCCAACATCTACTTAATAATAAGTAGTCCAGTGTAGTTGTTCATGCCATCTAGGTGCTGGTGGGAAGCATGCAGTACAATGTTTTCTGTGCAGCTTTCCTATTTTGCTGTTGCAGAGCCATCTCCCTTAGTCAAAAGTCCCATACTGTGTCTTGCTAGGATTGGCACGGTGCAAGGGACTGCAAACAGGGCAGATGATGCGTGGCACCCTTGAACATCATTTCTGTTGCAATGTTGTTATTTGAAAAGAAGTCTTGAAATGTTAGGGTCTTAAAATGAAACAATGTAAGGGGTAAACACTATTGGGATTTCATGGAAAATGAGAACTGGAGCAAAGGCTCCCCCTACTGCATACAGACACCAGAGAAATTAAAGGAATTGCCTCCATCATTTCAGCATTCCATCAGCGACAGTTGCATATCCTTTCTCACCGCTAGGGTAGCCTTACGATTTAGGTGGTGGTTCACTCAGCCTTGACATGGGCAAATGGTTTGCGACCTGTGAAAAAATGATAGATGCACAAGAACACCACCTTGGTAATAAGGTTGGGGGTGCAGGATGTCACACACAGAAAGCAGCGCATATGTACTGCATGTATTTCAAAATACAAGCCTTAATTACACCCATGTTAGCATTAACCTCCTTGAAAGCTTTTTATTATGTTTAATTGGTTGACAGGGCAGCAAGTACTAATTATAACTTGCTGTGACTTCTCTTTACAAATTAGGAGTGACAGCTTGGTGAGAAAAGGAAGAGAAGCATATGCATGTTTAGAACAAAGAACTGGTATGCTGAACCTTTGTCTGTGTAAGTGTGAATGTTAAGATTATAGATGGCACATATTCGGTTTGTCTTAACAGAATAACCTCAAATTGCATTGCAAGTTTAACAATTAGTGGCCATTGCCCCGAACAGGCTGACTGAATAAAGAATTGACTTTGAATTCTGGACTGCAAATGGAGTTATTTATTTTCTTTCTCATTTCAAAGGGTTTTCCATTCCCATGATCACCATGCCTCTCAATATTTCAGTTCTCATGAAGTTAATAACAGTCTTGGGGAATCTAGGACCTTGATTACTCAAAAGGCATTGCAATCCTAAGCATGGGTTGCTTCAAAGTAAGCTCCAGTGGTTTTTGATTCAATTTTCTTCTAAACAAGAATGCTTAGAATTCCAGACAATGGATTGAAAGGGAGGAGGAGGTGACGAGAGAGCTGCTTGGTTGATATACAAGGACCAAGTAATATAAGTTCCATTTCAATAGTAAAAAGAGGCACATTCAGCGCTGAAGCCTTCCAGCAATGACAACAGCCCCGTGCAGGATAAGTTCACATTGTGTACAGTGAATTTGTATGGGCGGATCATGATTGCAGTAGCGTAAGTGCATTCATCTGAACATCTGCATGAAGAAGTTCTGTGAAAATGTTGAGGTGAATGCATATGTATCCCTCCCAACTCTAAACTCTGAATGCCTGCATAGAGCTATTGAGAATGCTGAGTAAAACAGAAAATACAACCAAATTGTGTGGGTTTGCTGCCTTTCCCTCAGTTTTGCATGAGCAGGAGAGTTGTTTGTTTTCTGAAAAGAGCATCCAAACATACAGTTCTTACTGCAAACTGA